GCTGGTCGGCGGCGGCGGGGGAGGAGGGTTGGGGAGAGAGCAGGGAGTTGGCGAGGCTGCGCGCGCGCGCCTGGGCGTCGGCGCGGCGGGCGGACTGGGTCTGGAGTGCGGAGTCGCGGCGGCGCTGCTGGTCGGAGATGGCCGGGCGCTTGTAGGGGCGGCGGGGGTCGTGCTGCGGCGGCGCCATGGCTGACTTCGACGGAGGAGGGCGGCTTCGGGTTCGGGGGCCTTTTTATGACGATGACTTTTGATTCGAGGCCAGACCGAAGCGGGCTGGGTTATCCAATTTCACCTTTTCTTTCCCCCGAATTTGGTTGGAAGCGGGGCACGATCAGATGCGGATTCGGAAGAGTTGAGGTAGGAAAACCAAAATCCAAAAACTTTCGGAAATGATAAGCACCTAAGGTGCGATCACATGGCAAATCAAACGTTTTTCACGGCAATTTTAATGATGCAAGAATGACAAGTTAGTTGACACGCACGGTAATTTTTCATTAGAAAATAAACTGAAGCACGAAATCATCATGCTTGTCAACTAAAAGTATCATTCTTGCGTCATTGAACTTGCCATCGAAAACGTTCGATTTGTCATGTACTCGCACCTAATGCTCGGGCACTATCAGATTCCAGAAAAATTAGAATCTCTCCCATAGAAACACACTAGCAACTCCCCTGACCATATTTGGCGGGAGCCAGCTTCCTGAATATTCACCGGCCGGCGCTTGAGTTCAACAGTTGCATGACGACCGAAACGTCGCCGAAGATCGTTGGGTCGCCGCACCACCTTCCCATCCCGCCTCGTAGCTGGCTACCCGCCAGACCCGCCACTCCGGTTCCCCTGCCCTCGGGCACGCAACAGGGGCTGCAGCCCGAGCCAACCACGGTGTCGTCGGCCCTCGCTGCCACCTCTGCCCTCTGCGCCTCGCCGACTCCTGGCACCATCGGGAGGGGTGGATGTAGGTGAGAGAGAGGGGGGATGATCCATTGCTACTCGCGTAGGATTTGTTGGATTTCCTGAAGAGGAAATGTGATGTAGCACGACAGCAGAAAGTATTTATCTTAGTTAAGAAATAAGGTTTATTCGAACCAGTAGAAGGCACCAAGCTAACAACGTTGACAGTGTTTGCACACAAACAAATAAAATTGCTTGCACCCAACAGTGGAAAGGAGGCTGTTAATGCCCTTATTCTTGCTAGTTACAAGATTAAAAGCAAATATATAGTGACAGAGAAAACAGTAAGAAAGTAAAAGCGCAAATTGTAGGAGCTTTTGTATTAATGGAGATTAGACCCAGGGACATAGGTTCACTAGTGGCATCTCTCTCGAAAGCAGGTAATGGCATGATAACAAATTACTGTTGAAAAATTGACAGAATAGGGACATCTATAACTATGATCATTCATGGCATAATCTCATATAGGCATTATGTCTGTGATAAGCAAATCGTTAAACTTACTGACGTCTACTAATATTACTCCACAAAATGCCCACTATCCAACATGCATCTCGAGTTATTAAGTTTACAAGAAACAGAGTAATATGATAAGCAAGATGACATAATGTAGGTAGAAACCTAACAATAATATTAATCCCTATAGTTTTATCCTTAGTAGCAACAATACAATATATGTCTTTATCCTTCTTGTCACTAGACATGATCACTGCAAGATTTAACCCACTACTGTGCATCACTCCTGATACGTCTCCATCGTATCTATAATTTTTTATTGTTCCATGCTATTATATTTTTTTGAATGTTTTATATGCATTAAAATGCTATTTTATATTATTTTTGGGGCTAACTTATTAACATAGAGCCCAGTGCCACTTTCTATTTTTTTCCTTGTTTTTTAGCTTCGCGGAGAAGGAATACCAAACGGAGTCCAAACGGAATAAAATCTTCACGATGATTTTTCTTGGACCAGAAGACACCCAGGAGACTTGGAGGTCAAGTCAGAAGAGCCACGAGGCGGCCACAAGGGTAGAGGGTGCGCCCCTACCTTGTGCCCCCCCCCTGACTCCCCTGACCTACTTCTTCCTCCTATATATTCACATATATTCCCAAACCTCCAGAAGCAACCATGAAAACACTTTTCCCCCGCCGCAACCTTTTGTTCCCGTGAGATCCCATGTTGGGGCCTTTTCTGGCACTCTGCTGGAGGGGGATTCGATCACGGAGGGCATCTACATCAACTCTATTGCCCTTCCGATGAAGCGTGAGTAGTTTACCTCATACCTACGGGTCCATAGCTAGTAGCTAGATGGCTTCTTCTCTCTCTTTGATTCGCAATACCATGTTCTCCTCGATGTTCTTGGAGATCTATCTGATGTAATCTTCTTTTGCGGTGTGTTTGTCGAGATCTGATGAATTGTGGATTTATGATCAGAATATCTATGAATATTATTTGAATCTCCTTTGAATTCTTATATGCATGATTTGTTATCTTTGTAATTCTCTTCGAACTATCGGTTTAGTTTGGCCAGCTAGATTGGTTTTTCTTGCAATGGGAGAAGTGCTTAGCTTCGGGTTCAATCTTGCGGTGTCCTCGCCCAGTGACAAAGTAGGGGTAGCGAGGCACGTATTGTATTGCTGCCATCGGGAATAAAAAGATGGGATTTACATCATATTGCTTGAGTTTATTCATCTACATCATGTCATCTTACTTAAAGCGTTACTCTGTTCTTCATGAACTTAATACTCTATATGCAGGCAGGAGTCGGTCGATGTGTGGAGTAATAGTAGTAGATGCAGACAGGAGTCGGTCTACTTGACACGGACGTGATGCCTATATTACATAATCATTGCCTTGGATATCGTCATAACTTTGCGCTTTTCTATCAATTGCTCGACAGTAATTTGTTCACCCACCGTATTATTTGCCTTCATGAGAGAATCCTCTAGTGAAACCTATGGCCTCCGGGTCTATTTTTCATCATATTAGTTTCTGATCTACTATTTTGTAATCTTTTACTTTCCAATCTATACAACAAAAAACCCAAAAATATTTTATCTTTTGTTTATTTTTATTTATCTATCTCTATCACATCTCACTTTTGCAAGTGACCGTGAAGGGATTGACAACCCCTTTATCACGTTGGGTGCAAGTGTTTGATTGTTTGTGCAGGTATTGGTGATTTGTGCGTTCTTCTCCTACCGGATTGATACCTTGGTTCTCAAACTGAGGGAAATACTTATCTCTACTTTGCTGCATCACCCTTTCCTCTTCAAGAGAAAAACCAACACAAGCTCAAGAGGTAGTAGGAAGGATTTTTGGCGCCGTTGCCAGGGAGATCTACGCCAAGTCAAGACATACCAAGTACCCATCATAAACTCTCATCTCTCGCATACATTATTCGCCATTTGCCTCTCATTTTCCTCTCCCTCACTTCTAAAATGATTTTCGAACAGATTTTCCTTTTCTTCGCCCTTCTTCCGTTCGTCTTTTCGTTTGCGTTTTGGTTGATCGTGTGTTGGATTGCTTGCTTTGTCACAATGGCTCAAGAAAATACCAAATTGTGTGACTTTTCCAACACTAATAATAATGATTTTATTAGTACTCCAATTGCTCCTGCCACTAGTGCGGAATCTTATGAAATTAATGCTGCTTTGCTGAATCTTGTTATGAAAGATCAATTTTCCGGCCTTCCTAGTGAAGATGTCGCATCCCATCTGAATAATTTCGTTGAGTTGTGTGATATGCAAAAGAATAAAAATGTGGATAATGATATTGTTAAATTGAAGCTATTTCCGTTCTCACTTCGTATCGCCCTAAAACTTGGTTTACATCTTTGCCTAAAAATAGTATTGATTCATGGAATAAGTGTAAAGATGCTTTTATTTCCAAGTATTTTTCTCCCACTAAGATCATCTCCCTTAGGAATGATATTATGAATTTTAAGCAACTTGATCATGAACATGTTGCACAATCTTGGGAGAGGATGAAATTGATGATACGTAATTGCCCTACTCACGGTTTGAATTTGTGGATGATTATACAAAAAAATTATGCCGGATTGAATTTTGCTTCTAAAAATCTTTTAGATTCGGCCGCGGGAGGTACTTTTATGGAAATTACTTTAGGAGAAGCTACTAAACTCCTAGATAATATTATGGTTAATTATTCTCAATGGCATACCGAAAGATCTTCTACTAATAAAAAAGTGCATGCGATTGAAGAGATTAATGTTTTGAGTGGAAAGATGGATGAGCTTATGAAATTATTTGCTAGCAAGAGTGCTCCTATTGATCCTAATGATATTACTTTGTCTACTTTGATTGAAAATAATAATGAATCTATGGGTGTGAATATTTTTGGTAGGAATAATTTTGGTAAGAACGCGTATAGAGGTAATTTTAATCCTAGGCTGTTTCCTAGTAATTCCTCCAATAATTATGGTAATTCCTACAACAATCCTTATGGAAATTATAATAAGATGCCCTCTGATTTTGAGAATAGTGTTAAAGAATTTATGATTTCACAAAAGAGTTTCAATGCTCTGGTTGAAGAAAAATTGCTTAAGATTTATGATTTGGCTAGGAGTGTGGATAGAATTTCTCTTGAGATTGATTCTTCAAAACTTAGATCTATTCCACCCAAGCATGATATTAATGAGTCTCTTAAAGCTATTAGAATTTTCATTGATGAGTGTAAAGAAAGAACCGCTAAGATGCGTGCTAACTGCTAAGCGAGATTGGTTTGTAAAAGCATGTTCTTCTAGTTTTCGTGAAAATAATGATGAAGATCTTAAAGTGATTGATGTGACTCCTATTGAATCTTTATTTTCCAATATAAATCTTGATAAAGATGGGACTGGAGATGAGTCAGCTTTAGTTAGAAGGTGTCCCAATGGTTCAGAGTTTTTAGATCTTGATGCAAAAATTGATAAAAGTGGGATTAGGTCAAGACTTTAAGCATCAATGAACCCACTCTTTTGGATTTCAAGGATTTTAATTATGATAATTGTTCTTTTATAGATTCTATTTCCTTGTTGAAATCCATGTTGAGTTCTCCTCATGCTTATAATGAAAATAAAGCTTTTACTAAACATATCGTTGATGCTATAATGCAATCTTTTAAAGAAAAGCTTGAGTTAGAAGTTTCTATTCCTAGAAAACTTTATGATGAGTGCGAACCTACTATTAAGATTAAGATTAAAGATTATGAGTGCCATGCTTTCTGTGATTTG